GGCAGCCTGATTTCAAATTGAGTTTTTGGGAAAATTCGAATAGTAAACGAAATAAATCTAAAAGTATTCTTTTCATTTCACGAGTTTTGAGGTTTTAAAGTTGGCAACATATTTCTTTATTTTTAATAATGTCATACCAATTACGATCAACATGTTACATTATAAATAAGGCGGTCATAATCTTTATAATCTAGCATAAACATATTATAAAATGATAGATCTTTTAAGTTATATAAACTATTTTTAGAGCAAAAATTGGAACCAATTTTAACTAATTAATAATGAGAATTTAAAAAATTCAAAACGTAATCAAGCAGAAATGATTTTAGTAACGAATATTGGATTAAATATACACTTCACACTAAAAGAATTGATTGTGCTCAAAAATATTTTTAATTAATTCAATTTAAAATGGAAAAATGCTTTAAAATGAAACCGAAACTAAAACCATAGCTCAGAGAACTTCAAATATTTTAATAACTAATTTCTTAACAGATCTGTAATTTGGTGGCAAGCTTCTCAATGATATGAGCCACAAGAAAATGCATGAAAAGTTTTTCGGTAATTCTGAAATTTGTAGGGCCTTACCCGGTTTTAGTGTTTGTAAAATACCAATCGGAACTGATCATTTACGGACAAAATGAAATCTCCAGAAAAACAGTTACAACCAAATCCTTTTTTATTTTGAGTTTCTCTAATTATTATTACTCTTCACGAGAACTTTCTTGCGAATACATCAATGAATTTAACACATAGAAGAATACTAGCTAATTGATTCTAAATGCTCTATCTTCACCAACTAATGTTGAAGCACAAGATGATAACCAAGTTTACAGATGTACAGCGCAATCACGACCTATCGTAGCATCCTAATTCAAGAAACTAATCCAATTTCTTTCGGAGCATAAGGCGCTGGCCAAGTCTCCAGGTATACAGTGTTATCACTGAACTGAACTGAAATGAGCACTCAGAAGAAATGCCTGGAATTCTTAAAAAATCACTTCTGGTATTGAAAATTTTTAAAGGAAGTAGGAAGATATAATTGAGTTTTTATTCATATGAAGAATGAAGGTTAAAAAGAAATACCCGTATTTCAATAAAGAATTTTTACGCACTATCTTGAATTTGAATGCCTTTGAGCAGAATATTCAGGCAACTGAGAGTGTTATTTTGTTCAAAATGTTACTAAACACTGTTAATTAATACTAGCGTTTTGAAACGTATTTTTTTTTGCCATGGGAAATTAAAAAATATAATTATATTATTATTCTTATATATTTTTTTCTAGTGATTGAAATCTTACTCTTAAAAATGGAGTGAAATGGAGTTTACTTTTTTTTAGTTTAAAAAGAAATCTATTAAAATAAAATATGAATGGAAATTATTATGTAATATTAGTTGCAGAATTCCTTTAGAGGTGTATAAGAACAAATCGCTGAAAAGAGTCTTTATATTCTGTATTGCGCAAAATACTTTATTTGTGTCAAATCATTTTTTCTTTTAATTTTTTTATAGTTTGTCTTTTTTTAAAATTATTATACTGCATATATATATATATATATATATATAATCATTCAATATTGATTAATAACTTATGAAAATAAAGCAAAATATAACTTAGAAGTATTAAGTAAAATTCAAAAAATCTATTTTTCTTTAAGTAGAAATAGACAAATATAACCAAACAAATGTATTAGCATTTTTTTATTGCACTAACAATTTTCACCGAAAAAAAAGAACATTCAATTTAGTGCAATTTGTTGATAAAATTATTTTTATAACTGATGCATCCCTTGACAAAAGATTGTCTATGTCAGAGAAATTTATCACATAATTTAAAGTATTATACTGTGAAAGAAGTATATTCAACTAAGTTTAAATTAATCTTTAAAAATATCGATAATGTCAAAATAAAGGATATTCATTAAAAAAAAATTCAATGATGAAAAATCTGTGAACAATTACTGTGTTACCTAAAGGGACGGAAAAGGCTTCATTTACGAAAAAATCATTATCGATTGAAAAAAAAAATGATTTTGTAAGCAATTATGTATCATTAACAACAAAAACTACTCCCATCAAGCATTTTTGGATTATGAAGTGTTTTAATACTTACCTATTAATCTCTTAGTTTTCAATGTTTAATTAATTAAAAAATATTTTTTTCCGTTCAAAATACTATTTGTAATTTGAAATCATCCTGTAACTATAACATTTTAAAATTTGGTTTTTTAATGTAAGATTTTTATTTGCAAAAGCATTTATAAATGAATTTAACTTGTAAATAAAATACTATGCATGAAACAATTTAAGATAATCATTTCATAAACTTCTTATGGGGAAAAAATTGAAAAATTAAGTCGAACAAAATGTTAAGAACCGATTCATCAGAATGGGTTTCACAGATCAGACAAAAGTAACGAGCGATTATTCTTAACAAGAAATAACTGGAATAAATAACGTTGAAATATTTCTGTTAGATCTTGGAGATAAGATCTTTTCAAAATGACTCATTCTTTTACGAATAATTTCTACTTCTTACGTGTCGTTCATTTTCTTGAAAAAAGTCAGGACAATATCACTAGAATTTGAAGTTTTATTCAATTTGATTTCGACTTTTTTTCAAACATAATAAAATCAATTATATTTTACAAATTAAAATTCTAATTACAACGCTGCAGAATTTAAGTGATAGAATTTTCAGTAATCCCAATTCGGTATTTGGAAAGAGTAATTGTTTTTGCTTTGGAATTCTATTTATAATAATGCTTTACTGTGTAGTTAATAGAAGTTAGTTTAGTTTTTTTTTTATAAACGCAAAATACTTATTAACTTTGTGAAGATAAATAATGTTATTTGATACCCACACTATAAATGAATCTACGAAAGGGAGCAGATACTACAATGACGGTCATTGCAATAATCCACACAACAATTGGGTCAGACATATATCATAAAAAAAGCGTGTGTGTACTTATGTACGCACGTAAGAAGTTATACTTCTTTGGCGTAACAAGATTAAAATCTTTCTAAAAATATTTAGCAGGGCAAGCTGGGCCCAGGACGAAAGGTGGTCACGAGCAGAGTGTAACGATACTAACCTTTAGTCAATCGGACCTGCCAAACCCGAGATAATCACGATTTAAATAAATTTAAACACCCCGCAAAGGGACAATAGGACCAACAACATGGGGGGGGGTTCGGCAGACTGTACCTGGAGATAAGTTGAACCGAATGTGACACCTGAGACCTCACATTGAATGTCTTGGCGGAAAGAATCGTTCCTGAGAAAATTAAGACATCCGCCTGAAGAACCCCCGAGTTAGGGTCATTTTAAAATAATTAAAACCTTTAAAACAATTAAATAAAATAGAAGCAGGGCAATCAGCAACTCGAACCTGGGACTGGTTGTGAGCAACTACAAAGAGTAATCCATTAGAACCGGTCCGGAGTCTTTAGTTGCAAATGGGGCGGTGCTAGCTTGGGAAAAGGAAACGAAACTAACTCCTCCCCGGGGGTTACAACTGTGACGTAAAAAGTTACGTACACCCCCTTTTATCTCTGTAATATCGTTACGTCATCAAAAGATTGAACCCTATAGGAACAACATGGAGATTCTAATTTTCGTGATAACGCCCCCTAAGCCCTTTGTGTACACACGAAATAAAAGAGATGAAACAGCTCAACGAGGGAACCAATGATCCGAGTTTCATCAACGAATCTCAAAAATCCTCGGAGCTATGTGGGATTTTAAAAAAATTATAACTTTAAAATAATTTAAAAATGTTAAATATGGGTGAAGAAATGGGGCTATGGTGCTGAAAAAATATATCTAGGTGCTCATAGAAAAAAACAATCGAATCCAGCCTGTGCGGTTGACCAAGATGGCATAGGATTCAAGATATTTCTGGGGAAGCCCTGTAAGGGGAGGGGGCCAAATTCCATGTAAAGCTCGCGCTAATACGAAAATACGGTGGACCACCAAAAATCAAGTTCCAAGCTAAATTGCTTAGGGGAATGAAATTTTTTCCAGTCCCCATAGGATTAACATGGGAGCATGATATTTTAGTGCTTAAGCCCTCCCCTTACACAATGGGAATGAAGTAGATGACTGGATGGGTCTCGACGAGTGGAACATTTGGCTCAAATCTTATGTTGGAGACTCGAACAGGAACCAAAATATTGTGAATTTAAACAAATTAAAAAAGTTTAAGACAAAAATTATGGAGCATAAATCCTATGAGCATAAACTTATAATAACTGGAAGAGCATTAGAGAGGGATCAAATGAGTCAGGTCCTAATGGACCGTGAGGGTCGGGTGCCGAGATATTGGCCAAAAAGCTGTAGAGGAAGGGAATGCACAGGGAAGGATGCGTCCCAACCAGTAGCGCACACAGAAATTTTTCAAGGGCGGGGTCCGGGGTCGAAAGTTCACCATTCATATATCATGCTCCTTTCGATTTTGATTTTCGGGAACAAAAAACAGTAAAAACTAATTATTGAATAAATAATTAGCATTAATTAAGAAAATTAATCATTAATAACAAATATTTAATTAAATTTTACGTACTATATACTTAGAAATATAATCAATCGGAAGAAAAATCGAGGGCTTTGGGGGAGGTCCGGACCCCCAGGACCCCTGCGCCACTGGTCCCAACAGATATGGTTTATAACAATAGTTTTGTGATTCCTCAAATATCAGTACCATAGCACCAAACAAGTGGCATGTTAAAATTATAAAACGGTGTGCGCGCGCATCGGTGTCGTGAAGATATGCCCGTGCATCCGTGACGGTGTGAGCGCGCATCGTAAAAATTTACCCTCATCCTTTTTCCCTAACTCCCAAAAAGAAGTATAAGAAGTGTAACTAATATAGTAAAGAAATATTTTTCTGAGAATTTCGAAGGCGGAAATGATTTGTCCCATTCTGTATATTTCTAGACAAGGCATTTTCGTATCTGTTCCTACGGAACGCAAAGTAAAGTTTCGCTGACGCAGGGGTATAGCTTAGTAGTAGAGCATTCGAATAAAGATCGAGAGGTCACCGGTTCAAACCAGGGTGCCCCCTTCTTCAGGGAAGTGCAGAGAAATATTTTTCTTAGAATTTCGAAGGCGGAATGATTTGTCGCATTCTGTATATTTCTAGACAAGGCATTTTCGTATCCGTTCCTACGGAACACAAAGTAAAGGTTCGCTGGCGCAGGGGTATAGCGTAGTAGTAGAGCATTTGACTGCAGATCGAGAGGTCTCCAGTTCAAACCTGGGTGCCCCCTTCTTCAGGGAAGTGAAGAGAATTTCGAAGGCGGGAATGTTCTGTCCCATTCTGTATATTTCTAGATAAAGCATGTTCGCATCCTTTACGGTGTGCGCACGCTTCGTAAAAATTTACCTTCATCCTTCTTCCCAAACGTCCAATAAGAAGTATAACTTTAAAAAGCTTTAGTTATGTTCTACAAAGATTCTTAAAAAGCATTCTCTCTTTGGTAGGCATATAATTAGTATTCATTTCATTACCTCAATCACACCATAACGGTGGATGGTTGAAAGATGTATAACTGCAATGTATCCATTCTGCAGATTTGTAAAAACATACATCATGAGTTGACAACAATTATTACGTTTAATGTAACAGACAATTGGTTCGTCAACTGTGGTCGTCGGAACACAGAGGATCCCTAAAACCCTTCTAGGGTCATATAATGTTAAGATTTCCCTCTTTCACAGACTTTGAAAGGTCTCGTGAAAAACTAAAAGACGTGCCATCCTAGACTAGATCTCTCAATTGCCCCCAAATGAAAAACTTTACTAGAGCATGCATTTCCATCAATGATATTGTCAGGAAGGTATGTGCAAAATCTTGGGGCTTCACGACGCACAGTGGGCAGTTTTCCCAGTCTAGCACTCGGAAATAATTTATGGCTTTAAAGTCTTCATAATGATCTAAAATCATAGTAATTAATGTAAATTGGGTATTATTTTCTGTTTTTTATTAAGGCTATAGGGTCTTAACTAATTTATGTCCAGTTTGAATTTGATCAAGAATAAGTGATTGCTAAGTGGAACTAGTTTTTGAACAAGGATCTAAGGATATTAAGGGAAAAAGTATTTTACACGTGTTAGAATATATACAAGAAATAGTGCGACAAGTTAAAAAAATTACATTTAATAATTGTTAAAGATTAAACAAATGCAATCAAGCATAACATTGTATAAAAACAATAAAGGATAATAGGTAGTGATGAAAAGGACTCTGCACCCTTTGAGCATTTTTTTTTTTTTATGTATTGAAAAATTACATTTTAGCATTTTATATAATGTTTATTCAAGAAAAATGTGTGTGTGTGTGATACGAGATAAAAATTTTCACCTATTATTCACTTAATTTTTCAAATTTAATTTCTTTGGAAAAATTTTGAAATTTTTAAAATTCTACTCTTTTTATGTTAATTAATACTTTGACATGAAATTTTTATAATATTTCCGTGGATGTTTTTAAACACCTTTAGGGATCGATTTTACAGTTCCGTAATTAGTTTTGGAGGAAAAAAAGTAATAAAATGTTGATATGTATATATGCTAAAATTCAACCAAAAGCCTAATATTTTCCACATTTAATTTTTTTAAAAAAAGAATTATTCAATTTACAGCAAAATGGTTCCCTAATTTTGTTACATGCATTACATATAAGACAAAGGGAAAAAATGGAAGTGATTGGTAAATAATTGTGGAAGAAGTGGTATTTTGAATGTGAAAGAACACAAACCGAGAAAAACCATTTTAAAGTTAAAAATTCTGAAAAAATAATTATTATAAGCTTAAATAAACATAAAATACCACACTAAAATATTAACTATATATTTTTGTTAAAAATAATAAAATATAATATAAGTCTTACTCCCCGACAAATACGCATCATTCGACTTGGAGAACTTTTCCTTTCTATGGCACCTCGTCCACTTTCCCCTACAAACAAGCATAAATTTTTGACAATTTTTCTAAATTTTAATTGCTGCTGGTCCTCATATTTATCAAATCTCGTTTTGTCCTAAATAAACTCAAAACTACATAAGTTTTAAGCTAGTATCTTGCTCTTCCTTCCATACGTTGAATAAGGCACGCCGAGTAATACCATCGGCAAACGCTGAAAAAAAATCACAACTTTGAGAGTAGCAGGTAGTAGCAGCTAAATTTAGTATTAAATTAAAGGTCTATATCTACTCTATGTAACTTAAGTTTTTCTGTGATCAATCCGTGTCAATCCCAAAAGTTCTACTATAATAAACACAAAAAACCGACATATATGTTAGTAGGCGTTACATGCTGTGCTAAATGTTATGTTTTTACAATTTTTAATCAAACCTGGTATTAAGTCAAATCAAGAAATTAATTACCCTTGGCATATATTTAAAAAAACGCTTATCAAATCTGCAAAATCTTTTTCAGACGAAACGATTGATCTTCTAACTAGAAAATGACGCTCGCAAGTGTTTCTTGCAGCAAAAAGAAACCCTATTTAAACCGCTGATTGTAGAATATTTTCATTTGCGTACAGACGAAAACTGTTTACCACATGGCTAGGGAACCTATGAAGACCATAAATAGTGGGTTATTTTTTTTTTTTCGACAAGTTTAATTTTTGGACTTCCCGAGCGCTAGATTGGGAAAACTGCCCAATGTGCGACGTCAGGCTGATACATAAACGGAGGGCCATGGTGATGAAAAGTTTAAGAACCACTGCAGCAGACGATAATTATAGGCCTTTACTAGAACAGCGAAATATAACGAAATATTATCCATTGCTTTGTAATGAATCCACAGATCCCCTAGAAAGACTATTCTAATTCCTTAGTATTATTCTGAATATTCATCCGGCTCTCGATGCAGTTCAAACATTTAATCTGGACACTCGTTCACCCAACATTTGCAAATAGAAGCATCCGAGGGGCCTTGCCATCTAATATTCTGTTCGTAGTCGTCAGATGTCAGAAATGTGTGAAAACTTGTTTTAATTCGCATCTCTCGCCTTTTGAAATGATTAACAGAATTTTTAACGGTTTTTGATGCGAAGGTTCCTGTTAATAAAGGGGATTAGTAAATATTCCTTTTCTACAATTCGCTTAGAATCGATTTGATGCCATTTTGGGTCAAGCGGGAAGTTTGTTTCGATTTTGTTTACACCTATAATAGATGATGGGGGTTCTACTTGGTTTGGTTCTAGTTCAATAAAAGAAGTAACAAGATTCTCTTCTCAATCCTGAAATGTAAGCAAGTCGAGTTCTGTGAACTTGTTTAAGGAGGGTCAACTTCTCTTTAATTTTAATAAAAAAAATTACTTCTGTCAAAAAATATCCCTTCATTTTGGGTTTTTTAGGAAGTGATGGTAATTAATTGCGAATTATTACTACAGGAATGTCTGTGGTTTTTAATAACATTTTCCAATTATCATTAATTTAATAATAGTAATTTGTATTTTTTAAAAAATTTTTTTAAAAAACCAAAAAAAAAGGAAAGTTCATTTGTCCTAAATTTTTACAGTTTCTACCATTTTTTTTTAATATGTTTAAGTGGAAAAATTAATAAAAAAATTTATGAAAAAATAATTTTATTTTTTGTAGATTATTTAACTTTTAAAAGAGGACTATGCTCCTCAATGCTTATCCAGCTCATGTGCCATTCAGAATTAAAAAATTCGTGTGTTGAAATCTTTCAAAAGCCAGATCTATATTCAATTACATTTGTATTTGCTAAGCGTGATATTAGTAAGGATGAGTTAATAATTTAAGGGTAAAAGAGAGAATAATAGGAAAAAACCTTCAACTTATTGTTTAATTCTCAACTTTTAATGTGGATACGGTAGCATGATGGTCCGATAAAAAATACTTGTGGCTGGCGTGTCATGAGTTCGATCCCAGTATCACTGAACACCCTCCTTGTAGGGGAGTAATGCATGTTAAATTTGTCGAGAGTTTAGATGCCGTCCTCGTCACTTGTCCATGGTTCAAAATGGCGTGGTCCATCGACAAAGCCCTCGAGTATATTGGTGAACAGTGCGACGTTAATATTCACTCACTCTCTCTTTTTATTTCTTTGTTTTGCCAATTTTTTAAAAAAAATTGATTTTTACTGAAATTCCGTATACAGAAATTTTATTTTCTTATTTCTTAGCAATAGTTTATTTATATGATTGAAATGAAGCAGATAAACAAATATACATATATTTGTTTTCTATTATTTACCTTTTTGCAGCTTGTTTACTAGTAATATTTTTGAATTAAGATATTTGTAAAAATTCATCGTTTTTTTCATATGTAATAGGTTACTACTTAATCTATACATATAGCGTTTGTATTTCAAATTCAATAAAAATGATTCACATGATGCAAATAACTTCACGTGAAAAAGCAACAGGAAGAAAAAAGATTATTGCGAACATCCACATTCATTAAAATCTGTAAAATAAATTAGTCACTCCTCGAAAGAAGGTGATACTTAAAGTTTGAAAATTCAATTATGATTAGATTGGTTCAATTTTTTTTTAATTGTACCATATATCTCCAATCAGCACTTTCAATAGAACAGGCCAATAAAATTTAATTTATTCTTTAAAAAAAAAGAAAGCGGTACATTAAAAATTAAAAAAGTCCAGTTTATATGACTATATTTTTTAAAATAACTGTGCCTTACGTTCAATGAGAATTTTAATTTGAACCTGAACAATAACCTCCTTACCAAATTCGTGGACGCTGGATTCTTTTTTAATGCAAGCTCTTGTTGGACGCTAAATATTGCAGTGATTTAATTTTCTTAGACTACCAGAGCCAAATGGGTACCTAGGGAGTAATTTACATGATACATAATTATATATATCATGGATGCCTACGATTTTCTCTTCCAGGAAATATACTGACTTCTGCCGGAGTCGAACCAGCACCCTAAGGTTTACAAAATGGGCACGCTTTTTATACACCTAACGAGAGCCAATTTCGGTATTATAATGCTTCATATCTTGGAGATTGGTAACTGCACTTTTAAAACTATTCTTCTAGTTGCATGCTAAGTAACTTTAGT